GTAATCTTCAGAGAGAAAATGATTTACCGTAAAATTGGTAATGCAACCTACGAATACCTTCACAAATAAAATTCAAATTAATGACTTATTGACTAATTCGTAAAATTCTTTCCTTAATTCTAAGACTAATAGTGGTTGGCAATAAATACCAAACATTTGAATACATTTTTTAAATACTTACATTTTTATCACTTCACTTTTAAACCATAATCCTTGGTATAACAAAGTACCCTTTATAAAAGATCTAACGAATCTGCTCAGGCTAATTCGAAAATGGGTATTTGGCTCTTGTGACTAAGAACACATGTAACGTTGGCAATTATAGTGTATATAGTTTGCTGAAATATGTAGGGACCTGACAAAAAGCAGTAAGATGATATAAAACAGAACATTGGCATGTATAAATTATTATTTATTCTCAGAGCTCTTTGTTACTGCTACCTGCTCGTAGACACTAGCTATATCAACCTGAACATAGAAGCTGACTCCATTTAGTTCTGAAATATCGTCTGGAGATGAGAGTTGATAACAATATATTTCTAGGAAATAATTCAGTTTAGTTGAAAAATCGACGCCTTATCGTTTTGAGTCACTTAATTTTTCTCTCATCAAAATGAGCGCTCCTCATGAAGAAGTAAACAAATGGAAGATGGTCAATTCTTTCAATATGTTGAATTCTTTGTCCGCTAATGATTAGGCTGCACATAAAACTGGTCCTTTCTATGAAAAATTGGTCTTCCATTTGATTCTAAACGTACGGCTGTACGGTGAGCAGTATTATTCCTTTAAAAAGCTGGAGAACGTCTACTAAAATTTATCACTCATATGGAAATATGAGGACTGGGACAAGGCTGAACTGGAAACTGGGTCACTAGTAAAATCAAATGGTTGCTCAAATATATTTAACTCCATTATCCAATCGAGACCCCGCAAACCGAGTAGCTCATCGGTGAAACAATATTTGGGTTTAATTACTAGAACATCAAATCGAATAAAACACTTAATTAAGCCAATAGTTTTGACCAAATCACCAGAAGTAGTATTTACACAATCTGTCTCAGGATGTATACTTGGCTTATATAGTTCGTATTAAGTGCTATGAGGAACCAAAATAACATTTGACTCAATATCCAACGAAGAAGTGACAATGCTAGAATATACATTAATCGATACAAAATTACGTCTGGACTTGAGGTTAGTTCTGATCGCAAAATAGGATTAATTTTTTGGATACTCGGTAATTAGAAATACGCAAATGACGATATGATGGGGTTTTGGGAAGTTCGCAGAATCCATTTTATGACTGGTTTCACCGCCGTTTGTACATTTATGGATTTTAAACAAGCATAAATCGCGCCTCACAGTCGCAGTAGCTAGTGAGAGGTTTAGAAAAACGATGGAACACTTCATACGCTTCAAACAAAACAGGATTTTGAGCATTGGGTAAATGCTTTTAAAACGTCATCATTCTTGTATCTTGTTTAAGGTTAATAATGAGTTAACCCTCATTAGTAAACTCTCAAAGTGTTATGTATGGACCCTACTCTTCAAGATTTCGAACTCATGTATGGATATACGAGTAAGATGATAAGTGAGGCCCAGATACATAGATAAAGCACATTCATAGGTAAATGCAAATCAAAATTCTCTGGAAGTCGATTAACTAATGATGTGTAAGAAATAGAATCATCCTCCGGGGTCTTAAATGTTTTAAGACTAAAAATCTAAATTAAACGAAAGTTAGTAAGTACAAAAAGTTTAATAACGATGCTAAGTTGGAATAAACCGACAGTTTATGTATTATCACCCTAATCATTCTAAACTAGAATATTTAGCATTCCTGTTGTTGCTATTGTAAAATAAATCTGAACTGAGTTATTGACTTTATTGAATTGTTTTCTTATGTAAAATTATATTAATAACCAAGTAACAAGATTATATTACAATCCACGACATCTGACTCATTTACTCAAGCATGCTATAGGATGAGACCAGAATCATTAAAACTAGTTTGTTAATCAGTTACTCAATAATCATAGAAACTTTGAATCGAACTATTTAAGTTTTAAGAATTAGATAAGTTAAGATCAAATGATAAATTGAAAGATCTGTTAGGAAGTGGATGAAATGACAATCAACTAAGTAGCACTAGCATAAAATGACATTATTGACTGAAAGGGAGTTAGATGAAATGTTCATTTTACTATTAGTGGTAATTTTACACATTTTAGCTTCTTAGCATCAAGCTGTTACACTTGCAAATTGTATTACCTTACAGTTTAGTATTTATTTCCTAAACGCAAATACAGGTCCTTTCGGAACACTCCAAGTTACTATCTGATCTGAATAAATGACTACTTTTAGAGTATCTATATGTAGGTTTTTAGCATTTTATTTCACAACATTCGGTCTCAATAAATGTCATATCGTTTTTTTTTCAGAGTAACTATGCAATGTATGTTATATTCATCTGGCTTATGACAACAAACAAATCCATGAAAATGTCATTGAACTTATATTATTCCCTCGATATTTTAATAGGTTTACTTAAAGGTTTCATTGACGACTATGGTGTAACAATCGGTAAGTCCTATAATGTGAATTCACACAAGAACAAACTGAAGATTATGTAGTGAACTTGGAATGTCCGTGGTGAAATTTCCACTATGCATATTATTTTCTCCTTTTTTTTCTCAACAGACTTTCACAAACATGAAAATCTTTATTTAAAGTACAAAGTCGAAGAAAAAAGTGAATGGTTATTAGAATTATTTGGAATTAGAATTTTGTTTCACTCGGCAAGTGATCCATGAAGTGGAGGTATTTTAATGAACTAACTGATGCTTAATAACTATTTCTCATGAAATAAAATATATAGAATACATACTATTTAGTTTTGAAGTGATGGAGAAGATTTATAGTTTAGGTGGATGGTTTTGATGGTCTTAAGTTCTGTGTACTAGATGATCTAGTTGTTGAGCTTTCATTCTCGTTCTGGACAACGTCATTGATGCTTACAACAAGCAAACATGAGTCAAGCAACAACCTGGTCTAAGGTCTACAGAACAAAATACAAGGACGACTGAAGATGATGTAACTTGCAACAAAAACGAATAACAATAAGGCCCACCTGAACAAACTGATTCAAGACTCATGGAATGACTAAGAAGCTCGCTTCTAGATGCAGTAAGTACAGTGGCTGTTTCTCATAATAAAAATGAAAGCTATCCAACTAAATCATCTAATTCAGATAGCTCAACAACACGAAAAGCTATTTAGATCTTTTTATTGAATATTTTGTTTTATCATGGGAGTTAATAATAAAAGGAAAATTGGCTTTCAATTGACGTTAATAAGTATTAAGAGGAAAGTTTCATGAACCTTAATTTAGGTGAATAATTATATGTGAAGAGTATTAACACTGAATAAACAATAATAGATAGAAATTATTTAATTTTATAGTTAACAAATAGACTTATAGAAACTCAACCACAACTGTCATAGAGAATCATCATTGTTGTTATTAAAGATACTTCTATCTTACAGGTCATTCACAGTTTGAAGATCTCTATGTTATTTCCTCTGACAATGGTAGTGAGCGACGTAAGTTTGGGTTTCAGTATTCCCCTCAAGTTAGCGTATATACCTTGCTAACGAGTACCAGCAAATACTAAGTATACTTTCAGAACTTCCTTCCAGTTGACCCTAATCAATTAATATCATATAAGGTACATCACAATATCAGGTGATTGAGACTGGAAATTAGATTACGACTTAAGTGAAAAATATTGACCATTAAATAATAAAGGTTTTAATGGAAAAACCACTGATTCTTACTCAAAATTGTTTTATTTGGAAAATTATCAGAAAGAGGGTTTTGTAGATTGCAGTAATTTAATAACTGAACTCATGAGTCGATTAAAGCTAGACCACCATGGAAAACCAGGTTTTCCATGAATTCAACTATTAAGTTATTTAGAAAAGTCAAAACAATATACTATTGTACTGATGTATTCACTAAATACATCAACTAGTTGATTATTCGGCGAGACTATAATTTATGGACGACTTTTGGACGAATCTTAAGCGACCTTGAGAAATATTAGCCAATCAGTAAACAGTCAGTATAGAGTAAAAATATGTTATACATAAAGTGGATACACTTCTTATACATAGTTCAAAAACTTGTCAAGGTTAGAAAGAGGTTCAGAGGTCCTAAAATCGTAATGCATGCAGTAGAGGAAATCATCCATACAGCTACAGAATAGTCGGTCTCTGGAGTCATGATAAAGTCTCAACTACTCTTTCAGCCTCGACCACATAGCTTCAATATTGTTTATGTGCACTCCAGTTGTTGAGTGCACAAAATGCTACTTGTGGATAATGACACGATGCACATAACCAGGCCTATGTATGAGTCTGTACGCTCTCCAAATATCCGTATATATTGTAATACCTGGCTGCAGCCAGTGTTACTGGTGATTTTATTATCCAGTTTGCAATAATTGTCGTAATTTGCCTTAGTTAGGAATTATATATAGGGTTTTCATCACTAACCGACATCAGCTACAATGCCAGAAATTTATTTAGCCGAATGGATGAAAGGCTTCCGCGTTAAAATCCGAGATCTATTATCTTATACCTGATTATAGTCCCGTCGTTTTATTTGTCATAGCCACTCAATTATCACGTTTTGTACAAAATTCCCTGTGAACCGATCGTACGTTAGCATTAAGCACTGAAGTTATCGCCTTAAGCTTGAAATCTCTAAAACGCCTCTGATTGACTCGTCCATAAATTACAGTGTTGCAGATTATTCTATCAGTTAATCGGTTCATTCGTCCGTAACATAATCAATAAATCAATTATACTGTAAAAGTGCCATTTGATACAATTAGTTGACTGAGAAACTCGACTATTTAAAACACTCTTGGTAAAGTAAACATTTCTTTATCGCGTACTTCTTTTGCACTATCACTCAATTGACAAAACGATAATATTTTTCAAAATGTCATTTTTTTTTCATAATAAGATAGTTTACATCACGTCATATGAATTAATCAAAGAAAAAATACTGCTTTTGTTTTTTTAGAAAAAGAATGAAGGACTACCATTTGTATATATATATAAATCTAGAGGCAGTTTTCTCTCCATAGTTGTTTTCTTGTTGTTGTTTCAAAATGCTTTCTCTAGAAGTATTTTTATCCCCTATCAGTGATGAAATTATTTCTTACTGGATATTTATATGTAATTGTTCACATATTGAAACTTTACCTAAATAATTTTGAAATTTTAATTATTTCTATAAACTGAGGAATAATTACTGTTTTGAAATTGCAAAAATAGATCATTAAATATTATCAATAATAAGTACTATAATGAACCGTACCTATTTAGTATTAAGTCATTTATTCTCATTACAAATAAAGTCTGAATGATGAATAGGTGTAGTAAAATTTTCAGTAAGTATTGAAACAGGAATCCACGAGATTGTTCCTGTATTATCTATTCGATGTTCATTATCACCGTTTTCAACATCGAGACCATCATCATCTGTGGTCGATGTTGTTGATGTTAATGTAACATCAGATAAAATTGGTTCTAATCTTAATTCATATGCAGTTTGTGTTTGATCAGTTAGTATTTTTGTAGTAGTTGAAGTAGGTGATGTTGTTATTGTCGTTGTAAAATTACCAAATGATTCTAATACCGAGCTGACAGCGTAAATTCTTGTCGGTGATGAAAAGTTACTGTGTTCATCATGATGTAAAATTAAGTGTGGACCATGAGTTGGACATCCTCTGGATAACGTGCTGACAATCTGAAATAGCAAATGATATAAGAAAAAAAATTAGTTAAAAGCTATCAAATGTAGTGTCTTATGTAGCAAGTTTATGAACATATTATTTAAGAACAGTTGAAATAAATTGTTATTTTAACAAACGACTGTTTCCTGGTTACTTTCTAAGTTGTCTAACATTGACAATCACCACACAGTGTTTGAATATTTTCAATTGATATGCTAGAAGCTGTTAATTGTTTTCAATCCGATAGCTAACCACTTTTAAGTTTATCGGTACATTTAACCTGAAATTGATCCCAATACTTCAAATGCCTACAAATTACAAAGTTTTGTCTAGGATTTCCTCGCAGAAGTCTCAGATTTCTGAGCCTGTTTTATCGTATAATATTACAGTAGCATGTAAATTACTAGGGAATAGCTTGCACTATATTACAAGTTATAAAAACTTTTAATAAAATCAGGCTAGAGAAATTGTCAAGGTATCTAGTTGTACTCCAGATGTCCCGATCATATAATTTTAAAGCGCATTCAAGCAGTACTAAGTTTATTATTAAGTAAGGTGATTATTACAGTATTTGGTTTATCGACTACTGGTAATTGAACAGTTTTGTTATTAGTGATTTATCAGTCTACTGTTTTTTTATTAGGAAGTGAAATCATCAAAGTTACAAATCGTAAATACATTAAAAACTCATGAAGAAGATATTTTCAAAAATACTTCAGAAATCATCATAAGAGGTTTTACAGTTATAACTATCAGTACGGGGGTTTTGAAGGTCATTAAACGTCACTGTATTCACGAACCGATCTATGTTAAATAACTGCCGAGAGCCTGGAAGTAATTGGTAGCTGTTTTATTTTAGTATGAAACACCTCAGTAGTGCAGTCACGATCCCATCATTGAGGATAAAACACAGGGCCTTCTATCTTGAATTAAAATGTCAAAACTCTAGACTGATGAGCCGGATTCAGCGGTGTACAAGTCTTAATTCAACTTGAGATCCACTTGTCATAATTTCCTAGTAGAACTCCTGAAATTTTATATAGAATCTAATCATTAGTGCGCATGTGAAAAATGGAACAGCTATCGAGTATTTCCAGGTTTTCAATGATTGTCTAACTTAGTAATTTATAATTATGTTGATTAAAATAATAAAAAACCCCAACAAAGTAGGGAAAGTGGCTTTTAAATATGTATTTGACCTGATTTTTGTTTGTTGTATAATCTATTTCAAGAGAAAATCTTGCCTATTTAGTTCCTTATACCAGTGAAAGTTATAAAAACAAAATTAAGGTCAAACAGAAAAGAAAAAAAATAAAAGAAACATTAGTTCACTTTCCATAAAATACTTCTTTTTATCCATGACTTACATAGTCATTATTCACTTGATAACATTTTCATTTTAAAAATATTTTTCTTTCTTTCTGTATACGCATGTTCATTATGCTATTTTCATTCATAATGGTTTTATTAGTATAAAGGAAATTCTAACCAACATGTATTAACCTCATTTTATTATTATGAGAGAAGTAATATCTGACATGTGAAACTGTTATTTTTCAAGAACTAAGATTATTTCACAGGATAGCTGGAAACTTTTACATTGCATTTTAGGGGTGAATAATACCGATTTTTACTGGAATCATATTCATGATAATTGTATTGTAACTATATTAATAAAAACTAGTACTGAGATTAATATTTTTCTATTTATGTTTTAATGGTAGGACTATAATTTATGTCTAACTTCAACCAATCCACGAAGTTGCGCCACCATATACCATCTCACAACAGACCTGGTTGAACTCCACTGATAACGGCTTCCCACTAGAACTCCAGGAGTATCTCTTGAAGTCAGTCAGTAGTGAGCAGATGATTATTATCAGAAGGGGTTTGTGGCTCGCGCGCGAAGCCAGTAGGTCCTGGGTTTGAGCCCCGCGTGGTGCGGGATCGTGGATGCGCACTGCTGAGGAGTCCCATACTAGGACGAAACGGCCGTCCAGTGCTTCCAGGTTTTCAATGGTGGTCTAGCTTCAACTGACTCATGATTTCAATCTGTGAAAATTTCTAAAAATCTCCACAAACCCCTTCTGATATAATTTATGGACGAACCAATCAGGTATAAGATAACAGATCTTGGATTTTGGCGTGAAATTCACCCATTTATTGGGATAAATAGAGTTTTGGCATGTCAGTTCGTGATGAAAACTCTAAATCTAATTCCTAACCCTAACCATCAACTGTAAATCATAATTCTAATTCTTCACGCTTGTTTATAATCCTCCTTTGGTCCTAGTTATTAGGCGAACACTCTCAAGGTCAGTTTAGCGTCTCTCAAAGGTTGTCCATAAATTATAGTCTCACCGTTTTAACTTTACCATCCATAAACTATAGTCGTATTTGAAATATTACACATGGTACCATCATTAGTTATTACTTTAAATATGTTTTGTTTATGTAAATGTTATTGCAAATCAAAGCCTACAATCTAAACCATGTTTTAATAAACATTTATGTTGATGTTCCAAGCATATTAATGAATATTTGGTAAGGCATAGCCTACTTGAATTAGTGATACTGTTATTTCTTAATTTTCTTGAATTGATAAACAGCCAAAATATTTTGAAACGGGTATACATAGTCGTTGTTATTATATTTTATAAATTACTTTGCACCGTTGATCAATATATATTCATGACAATGAACAGTTTCAGATAATTGGAATTAAAGGGAATAAAAAAACTGCACCTGAAATTTTTTATGGATATCAATTCCACTTAGTGTGAAAGATACACTTACAAGGTATAATTTAATGATAAGATATATTTTCATGTAATACAATGTTTAACGTCTTATATTATGATAAAGAATCCTGTCTAGCTACTAGACTCTAAATGGCAAAAGTATAGACTCGACATTTAGCTGGGTGGTATAAAATTTACTTCAGTTTATCGGTTTTGTAATAATATGCGATTAGGTAGACAAATATTTTTCCGAAGATACATCCCAGAATAAACTGACATCAGGCAGTGAACCAATGAAGACCATTAAAAACAAGAAAGTTGTTGTATCTTGAACTTCAACTTACTAGCAATGTGAATTTTTAAGTGAACTAGAGATGAGACACAGAAATTGTAAGTTTTATTTTAAACACAATACTATTCAACAACCGAATCGAAATCCGATAGTTGACTTTTACAACTTTCGTTAACTTAAAACATTGAAAAAACAAAACCCAAGTTTACAGGTTACTTTTTCATGACTTTAATGGTTTTTTCCAATTACACCTGCAAGAAGTTCCTCTGGAAGTTATTCGTTAATGACTACATGACTACTCATAAGGTAAATAACAGCAGTGATTTTCAGTCATACCCAATTTTAGGTTACAGTTTATTCATATTGTTCATTTCATTGAATTAATTGATACGCACTTTTTAAATAGGAAGTAGTCCTGTGAAATGAGGTGTTTACTATTCTCCTGTAATAGTTATTTATTAAAATTCAAAAAAAAAATTGGCGAATAGATATACAAGGAAAAATATCACTTATCCTGGATTTTTCTAGTAACCATAATCAAACATAACCTCATTTCATTTTTATTAATGTTATATCTCTAAAATTACTGACAACAATACATATGTTGAGATTATAACATAGATTACTTCCTGTGACCTATATCTGCTGTCTCAAAATGTCACAATTTAATTTTGTTAGCTATTTAAAGTAAACATTCTTTTTGACAAAAGTATATATCTGACGTAAAATTATTCAGTAGTTTACAACCACTGATGTTATCCATAATCATAAGAGCATTTATTGAAAGGTATAAATGAAATTATATAAATATGTAAGCATATGAATATAGTGAGTACAAAAAAAAGAATGTATATATTTTGATATGTATGGGAGTTTGATAAAAATTAGGTGATAGAAACAAACTAAAGTTTATTGAGTTAATCAGATCAATTATACCGTCTTCAAAATTTATTTGTTTGATAGTAATTGAGTGAATAAATACTTGAATCAAAATAGTAGAATTGACAGAAGATTGATTAACCATTAGACCACTGAGCCGGCATCCAACGGTGGTAATGTCTAACTTCAACCAATCCACGAAGTTGCGCCACCGTATACCATTGTCTTCAGTGAGCTGATATCTCACAACAGACCTGGTTGAACTCCACTGATAACGGCTTCCCACTAGAACTCCAGGAGTATCTCTTGAAGTCAGTCAGTAGTGAGCAGATGATTATTATCAGAAGGGGTTTGTGGAGATTTTAGAAATTTCACAAATTGAAATCATGAGTCAATTGAAGCTAGACCACCATGGAAAACCTGGAAGCACTGAACGGCCGTTTTGTCCTAGTATGGGACTCTTCAGCAGTGCGCATCCACGATCCCGCACCCAGCGATATTCGAACCCAGGACCTACTGGTTTCGCGCGCGAGCAGTTAACCATTAGACTCATGACTTCAATCTGTGAAATTTCCAAAATCTCCACAAACCCCTTCTGAAAATAATTTTCTCTTGATTAAAGTAATGACACAAGTTTAAATGACGTTTACATTAATGTCAACGATAGTCGTGAAGTAATGAATGAGAAGGACGCATTTATTTACTTAATTATTCTGTCCATATCAGTTAAAGTCACTAGCCGTTAAATTTGAGCATTAACATATTGCTATTGTTAACATTTTATGAATATGGTGGAAATTCAATTGAAACATGTCTGTCAACATATTCAACTATCTCCTTATTAGCATAATGATAAAAAGGATGAACATTTATCTTATATACATTATGTTTATAGTAGATTTTAAGTCAGTTATTGAAAAAAAACACATTAGATATATTTATATAAACATTAAACTAATGACAATCCTATCATTCAGTAATGTATTTGTCCAAAGATAAGAATATATAGTTGATTTGTTAAAAAAAATAACTTCGTCAAAAGAATATTGATAGAAAGTAAAAAAGTATACTATTACTGATACTTTTTAAAGATAGGAATGAA